CATTTTTCCCTCTTTTTTGTTCTCCTTCTTAGACTTTAAATCTTGATGGAGAAGTAGTAAAAACAGAGCTAAAGCTCTTGTCCATGCCTCTCCCAAGCACCTGGTTCACTCTGTCTGCTCCAAAATTTACTCACGATCTCCTTTAAGCAGAGGATGAGTCCGTGTCTGGCTTCGTTCTGGGAACGGAGGCAGTCCAAAGTGCGGAGAAAAATCCCTGACTCCGGGGGAACTCACTTCCACCCCCACAGCTATAAAACTGTGGGAGCTCAGGAGTTCTACCCCTATCTGGGAAGCTCTCTCCCCTTCCCTTTGCCCGGGAAGGGGATTCAAGCCGCGGAGCAGCTGTTTGGCGCTGCTCCTGTGGCTTTTACGCGTCCTCGGAGCAGGCGGCGAACGAAAACGCCGCCATCAGCACAGGAACTCAAACCGGAAGTCCAGCTTTGTTGATTTCTTGTTGGAGCAGTGTTGGGCAGGTATTTCTGATGCCTCTTTCCTTCTGAGTTCTTAGTCCAGAACATCACCATTCTGATCATCAACATGAATCTCACATTTTGTAACTCTGCAATTCTTTACTCCCTGGTTAACAGCTTTCCAAGCCCTAAGAGGTTGACTCTGTGATTTCTTCTTTCAACCTTTATGATAGCGCGATTGTTTTTAAAATGTGTTAAATATCTTCTTCTCTGGCTAATGAGTTACTGTGAAGAAAGCAATGGGGGGAGGAGGGAAGGAAGGGAAAAGCAGTGTAGCAATTGTCTACATTCTTCATTGATAAATATGCATCAATATGATAAATCTTCAGAGTCAGTTAAATCTACAATTGGTGAAAGGATGTAAAGAAAGGATGTAAAGGAAATATGTAGGCAAAAATAGCTGGGTCTGAGAAAGGAAGAAGAGAAGCCATAAAAATATATAGGAAATGGCTAGCCAGGAAAGATAGAGAATAGCAGAATAGGAAACTAAGACAAATAAGATAAGAGAAAAGGCACACTGAATTGAAAAGCAGGAAAAGAATTTATTGTTCAAAATGGGGACATAAATATCTACTGAGTTTAAAATAATTTAAATGTCTAATTTTTCTTATTCTTATTGTATATGTGAATATGATTTAATATGTTATCAGGAAATGTGTATAGGCGGACGGAAAGAGTGTAACCTCATACTACCTCAGCCAATGGGGAAAGAGGAGGGATGTAGCAACCGGTGATAGGGATGAATAAAAGGAGATATTTTGGGTTAAAACTTTGGAGAGAACCAAGCTTTGATAGCTTCTCTCCCCGCTTATTGCAATAAACAAAACAAAAGGCCTTCACTGTGTCTTGGCTGGTTATTGGTCAGGCGAGCTTGCCTCTGGTCACAAAGGAAAGTAGCCAGGAGCACATAAGATTCATTAAAAAAAGTAAGGAATGCCAATCTCAAACCATATTTCCAGGATTATATCTATCAAAGCAATCCTTCTTTTGCAGTTAGTCATTGCTGAACGTGCAAAATTGTCAAATACAATTAAATTATCATATACAATTAAAGTTTATATAAAATTAACACTAGAAATTCCTGATTTTATTTAACTTGTTGCTAATTTAACTTGTAATAAATAAGATGAATTTGAATCAATCCTATTATCCCTATTCAATTGTTATTAATCCCAAGCATTTACCACATAATCATTCCTGAAAAGCCCTCCCCTCCCATATATCCATGGTGTCAGCTACTACACTGAATATGAATTTCTGCAAGATAGAAGCTGCTTTGGCTCATATGAAACCAAATGCATTACATGTACATTTATAAATTACCTGCATGCATCTGGGTTGCATATGTAAGAGTGTGGGGAGTCATTTATTTGACATCAGTGGATGACTGTCTCTCTGTCACACAAAGGAGACATGACATTTAGAAAGAAAGGGGTTAGACAGAAATATAATCTCTTTTTCTTCTTCAAGTCAAAGATGTTGTGTGACTGATTTAGCTTTGCAAGTCAGGTGTTATTCAGCAATTGTTGTTGCCACTAGATGGCAAAACTGAATGGGACTATAAGAAATCTGATACGTTATGGAAACTGATGCTCATTTTGAAGACTGCTGGAAATGCATAATTGGATAACTTAATCAAATTACTATGATTTCTTTTGTCAAGTTTGCTTATGAAAATTCTTGCCTTGTGTGGCTAAAATTTGACTACAAGAATGATTTTGCTTAAGGGGCTTCTGTTGCGTGTCTTCTATTTTTGTGTTCTTCACCCCTTTTTCTAATACAAGAGATCACTCTTCTAAATTCAAATATCTATTCATATCATAGGTATCTGCTTCCTTATATAACAATCATGATGCATGTGATGTCACTGAGACATGTACTAGGTATCTATGATTCATATTGTAGGCCTAACTCTATATGTATCCTTTATATGGCTTCTTAGATATTTTGCACTGATAGACAATATTTTCATATCATTTAATTTAGCTTTCTTATTATCCCCCATTAGAAATTAGTGCATTATTCTTGAATAGTTTTAAAAAACTCTTTAAAACCTAATTTTAGAAAGATACTTTATTTATTTTTTTTGTAACATTTACCTGATAGTATCATTTCCAAAGCATCCCAAATCGCCAATTCCAAGATCATCTGCCATTAGAATCAAAATGTTAGGTTTTGACATGCTGGTTACCCAGATTTGGAAAAATAAGATGGAAACAAGCAAAACAGTTGAATAACTGTAAAAATAAGAGCAATATTACCAGTAGATTAGAATTGTCAAAAAGGAAATGTCCCACAATCATCACAGATACATCAACAGAATCACATACAGATTGCAAGACCTTCTGATGCCAAAGTTTTATTGAAATGTTGTAGCTTCTTCTCCAACTTTTGGTTACCTCTTTTCTTAATCGGAAAATGGACCATGGTGATATTTATTCAGGAAATATGATATTAATTTGCACAAACAAGTTGCTTTTTCAACCAGACAGTAGAGAATTTGAGCTGGATGTAGAAATGTTAGTGCCTCTTTCAGGCACAGCTGAAATTTCAGTAAGCAGAGTTATTAAATGCAGGATCCAATCTGGGTTGGTCACCAGGACCAGACGTTTTGTCTTCCAAACTTTCAGACTCATGCTGGAGCCCATCTTCAGGGAACTTCTCTCTAGCAGAGTGTGTGCTGTTCTGTGTGTGGTATTTATGGTGCCTGCTGTAAGTGGCTTTTTAGATGTTGATTGGGGTGTATCAACAGGAGTGCTGATTTACTACCAGCCTATCAAGTACTTAGAAGGCAAGGGCTGAACCGCACAAGCAAATGACAGCTAAGCACTTAAAAGCCAGCCATCAACACACCCCAATCAGCATCTAAAAAGCCACTTATAACAGGCACTATAAATACTGTAAGGTCCCAGTCCCTTACTTAAACTTGAAATACCATATCAATCTAATCAGATAACCCAAGCGGAGACTTCTTGATCAAGCAGCACTTTATTTGATCAAATTAAGCAGCTGGGTGGCCAACAATCTGGAACGCTGGCAGAGTTACGTCCAGAAGTGGCATGCATTAGAAAGTTGGTAGTGTTGCTTTATAAACTATGTTAGCCAATGAAAATCAGACAACAGAGCCATTACATCATAAAGAAGACATCAATCATTCCTGTACACTCCCTTATTCCCTCCTTCAGTATATCCCATCCATGTACGTGTTTCCCAAGCTTGCATGAGATTTCTCTGGTGCAAAAGCTGATTACAAAAAGCAAGAAAGCAACAGTTAGACTAAACAATTTCCCTTTGTTCCAAAACCCTTCAATACCATACACAGAACAGCACACACTTTGCTAGAGAAAAGTTCCCTGAAGAATCCCAAAACTCGGTAGACAAAATCTCTGGTCCCAGTGACTGACCCAGATTGGATCCTGCAACATTATCCTGGGACACATATATTCGCGTTCATTTGTGAAAGCTTTGCACACAAGGCATCCACTTATAGCTATGCTTCCTACACTTGATGCACTCAAGAAGGGGTCATTCCATGCAGCCTATGATACTGTCCTCTGGTCAACTCAGAGATGGGCAGATGTACCGCAAAAGCATTCAGCAAATATATGTTAGAGTCTTAATCAATGACTACTATTTACAATTGGGCATATATAAAGCAGCCATCAATATACCCAAGGTGCATTGCCCATCACAACTTAAAGAACTAGTTACCCACCTAGAGAACGAAAAATAGACGAGAGAAAGGAAATAGTTGTAAGATAAAAATCAAAAGTTTAAGCCACGATCTGAAACCTGTGCAAACCTGGTCCCTAATTTATCGAACAAACAATTAAGTCAGCAGGAACTACACATACTTGAACATGATAAGGGATTCAACACACGAGATGCCACACCAAGAGAATTCATAGCCACATTGGAATTCATATTCAACAAAGAAGAGATAGAAGAGTCAGATAAACATGCTATCAGATAAAAATTATAGGCAATGCTGATCTCACACAAACCAACAAAGCACTCAACCCAAAGCGATGCACATTGAAAGACCTGAAACAAGATCAGGATATCATTATGCTCAATGGTGGTGATGAACTGCACAGATTATGAAATGAAGGCATTCAATCTGCTCAATGGATTCCTCAGCATACAGACCAGCAAAGACATCAAAAATGAGAACAGTGATCACCCAACTGAATGCTTATCTTAGTCAACTCAAACAAAACAACTGTATAACGAAGAAAGAATGGTGGAAAATGAGAGGAACAGATGCTGCTCCAGCAAAATTGTACAGACTCCCCAATATACACGAAATAGGAGTCCCCCTCAGACCTATTATAGTGCTATGAGACACTTCTACATATAATCTGGCTAAATGGCTGTCAGAACATTTAAGCTTCCTGACCCAACCCTCGAACAGCACAGTCACATCATTTACACAATTTCTGACAAACCTACAAGGCTTAAATGTGGCTCCTGATGAGATTATGGTCCCCTTTGATGTAGTGTCTCTATTTACATCCATCCCTCCCCACTTAGCATATGAAGTAATAGACAGAAAACTAGAAGAAGAGTACAACACAGATCAGAACAATATAATCAGGATACAAATCATGAAGCTACTTCAATACTGTCAACACACCTTCTTCACATTCAAAAGTGAATGTATGAACAAATAAAAAGGAAACCCATGGGTTCCCCAATATCAGGAGTCATTTCAGAAACAGTCCTGCATGAACTAGAACACCATGCATTTCAGAACTATGCACCTAAATTCTGGTGCTGCTGCATGGATGACATGTTTGTCATCATCAAGAAAAATGCACTTAAAAGATTTTAATACTTTTGTGTATTCCGTTCGTTGGCAATTGACGAAGACACATGGTGAAGCAACAAGCTCTTTATTAACCTTCTACTACAATCAAGCAAGCAGCAAAAGGCACGCAGGCCTTTTATAGGGCCTTAGACCCAGAAAGTGTTAACCAATAGGAACTGACCGTTTTCGCGCCTTGCGCATGCGCACAAGGCTGGCGTCGCTCTGTCTGGTCCCGGGCAGCTTTTGGTTTGCCCGGGACTGTTTGCAACAATTCTGAGCCTGCTTTTCTATTCTAGCAGGCTTAGGACACAACACCCCTCCCCCCTAGATAAAACACACCTAGCTTTACGCACAGGTACATTGGTCAAAAGGCAGGGAGAGTGGAGGTACTCTGGTCTGCGCACAGGCAAGACACTATGACAAAATAATTATTAAATTAAACAAAATGCACCCAAAATCATAATAGTATATGACACCCTTTACTGGGTGTTAACCCACATCCTGCTACAGATCAGCAAGGTTCCCCATGTGTTGACAGAGACCTCACATAATCTCCTAGATGTTTGGGTGGGCACTTGGCCCGCTGTGACCTTCTAATGGCCGGTGAGTGTGCCTGGCCTATCTGCTCGCCTGCCAGGCTAGGCAGGCCAGGACTTTGATGCCCCAAATACTTAGGTGCCCCACCCAGCTGCTGACTGGCTGGACCTTCTGAGTCCAAGCCAGTGTACCTTGGAGGGGTGGAAGTCCCCGAATCCACAATGGACTCCTCTTGGGAACTCTGTCCCTTGAGCCCAAGGTCAGCAGTTGGAGTGGCCTGAGTGGCGGAAGTGCCCCAGTTCTCCGAAGCCCCTGTGCATGTGCCGGAGGTGCCAGAGTCAGGAGCCACCTCCATGGCAACCCCCCTTGCTACTGACTTCCTTTTCGGAGCAATAACTGAATTGTGACACTGCCCCGATGGAATTCCCTGTCTATGGCTGTGTTTGAGTTGTGTGGATACCCCCGGTGCGACTCCCTGTCTGGAGCACTATCTGACATGTTTGGATAATGTGGATACCCCTGGTGCAACTCCCTGTCTGGAGCAATAACTGATGTGCGGGATGACTCCCTTTCCAGGTAATTCCTGTTTGGAGCACTTACTGACCCTTGGGATGACCCCCAGATAGCCTCAGTGACCATCTCAGCAGCTTGTGAGCTACTGTTAGGACTGGAACCCAGTAACCCAGAATGCGGATTATGGTCCTTCCCCCCCCCCAGAGCAGAGCCAGGAGTGGAAACGTGGCTGTTAAGCCTCCAGCGGAGTTGATCTATGTGTCTGCGGATAACACGGCCATCATCCAAGGCTACTTTGTATGATAACGGCCCAGAGACCTTGCATACCACTGCTGTGACCCAGAGATGTCCAGGCCCATAGTTCCTTGCCCAGACCGGATCACCCACCTGAAGTCTCCTAGGTGTCCGCAGTTGTGACACCTGTGAAGCCACCCGGTCTGGGTGCAACCTGTCCAATTTGGTGATGAGGTGGCGACCCCAGCGGAGTTCTGCAGGGCTCTTCCCTGTGGCTGTGCAAGGTGTGGTGCGGTGTGCAAGAAGGAAATCAGCTAACCTGTGATGCCAGTTACCGTAAGTCAGTTTCTTTAGAGCATCTTTGGTGGTGTGCATCATTCTCTCTGCTTAGCCGTTGGACGATGGGTGGAACAGAGCAGATGTTGCATGCCGAATCAAGTTGGCCTGAAGAAAAGCCTGGAACTCAAAAGAGGTAAATTGGGGGCCATTATCTGAAACCAGGACATCTGGAAGTCCATGTGAGGCGAAAATTCCTCTCAACACCTGGATGGTCCTGGCAGTAGTAGTGGAGGAAACAGGAACAACCTCTAGCCACTTGGAATGGCTGTCAACGAGGAGAAGGAAGAATTGCCCCTGAAAGGGCCCAGCGTAATCTATATGTACCCGTGACCACGGGGTTTGAGTTTCTTCCCACCTATGTACTGGAGCCTGAGGCATTTCAGGCCTTGACTGCTGGCACACTTGGCACCCGTGCACCTGAGCCTCGATGGTTTTATCGAGCCCAGGCAACCAGAGATGGCTGCGCGCAAGTGCTTTCATCCTTACTATACCTGGATGTCCCTCATGCAGAGAGAGCAAGATTCTAGACCTCAATGAGGCTGGGATGACTACCCTACTACCCCATAACAGGCACCCCTTGAAAGTGGAAAGTTCATGCTTCCTTTGCCAGGAGCTTTGAAACTCTGTATTTGGATACGTGTCAGACCATCCTGACAACATCCATGTCAGCACGTGTGTGAGCGTGTGATCAGTGGCAGTTTCTGCAGCCACGTCCCTGGCATTGAGGGGAGATTCAGGCAACTTCTGAATGGAGAGAATGTTAATAGCAGGAGCAGGATCTGCCTCTATTTGTTTGAGAGGCAATCTGCTGAGGCCGTCTGTGTGGCCCATCTCTTTGCCAGGTTTGTGAATTAGAATATAATCATATGCTGACAGGAAAATTGACCATCTCAGCATACGTGGGGAAATAATATGTGGTGTCTGTTTGTTAGTTGTAAACAAGCCCAGCAAAGGCTTGTGGTCTGTATAGACTGTGAAATGGCGGCCATATAAAAAATCATGGAATTTCTTTATGCCAGCCACTATGGCCAAGGCTTCTCTGTCAATCTGAGCATAATTTCGCTCTACAGATGACAGAGTCCTTGAATAATATGCTACAGGGACTTGTGTCCCATCAGCCTTCAAGTGGCTAAGTACTGCTCCCACCCCATAAGGAGAGGCATCACATGCGATGCATACAGGCAGTTGCTCATTGAAATGCGCTAATACAGCATTTGAAGAGAGCAAGGTCTTAACCTCATTGAAACTCCTTTCATGGACTTTAGTCCACTGCAATGGAGCCTGCTTGTCTAAGAGCCAGTGTAACGGCTCTGCCAATGCAGCCTTATGTGGGAGGAATGCGTGATAGAAATTTAATAGTCCCAAGAAAGCTTGCAGGTCACTCTTGGACTTGGGACTTGGGACCTGCTGAATTGCTTGTAGCTTGGATTCAGCAGGGTGGATGCCTTGGGCATCAATCCTGAACCCTAAGAAGTCAGTGGAAGTGACTCCAATCTTACATTTGTCTTGCTTCAATTTAAGGCCTGCTTTGCGGAAACACAGCAAGACAGCCCTTAACCTTTCTGCTAAATTTTGAGATGACTCCCCAGCGATGAGGATGTCATCAAAGTAGGGACAGACCCCAGGAATACCATGAAGTGTGCGTTCCATGACACTTTGGAATATACCAGGGGCTACATTAACCCCAAATTGCAGTCTCTTAACCTTAAAGGCCCCTCTGTGTTTTACAATCGTCTGGGCCTCTGCAGTGGCCTCATCAACAGGTAGCTGTTGATATGCCTGTGCCAAATCAAGTTTCACAAAAAGGCGCCCCCCCTTGAGGGAAGCCAGAATGTGGCTTACAACGGGCACTGGATATGCATGCTGTTGCAACGCTTTATTCAATGTGCACTTATAGTCTGTGCATATGTGGATTTCTCCATTAGCCTTTAAAGGCGTTACTATGGGGGTTTCCCATGGACTAGAGTCCACAGGTTCTAGGATGCCTTGTTGGAGCAATTTGTCCAACTCTGCATCTATCTTGCTTTTGAGGGCAAAAGGCACCCTTCTAGGCTTGACCCTGATGGGCGTGATAGTTGGGTCTAACCATAGTGCAATGGGGGGGCCCTTGTAGGATCCAACCTCTGAGCTAAACACATCAGCATACTCCTTGCAGACTTCTGCAAGGCCCAACGTTTGCAAGCTGTGAAGCCCAATCACTTGGATTCCCAAGGTCTCGAACCAATCGAGTCCAATAAGACTTGTGCGTTCACCCCCAACTACCACCACATTCAGGAAACATTCAAAATCCTTACGCTGCACTTAGACCGTGGCCTCCCCCTTCACACTGACTTTGGAATTCTGAAAGTCAGTGAGTATTAAATTCGATGGCCTGAGTTTAACTCGAAGGCCACTACTGCTGCAAATCCCTTTGAAGGGGTCAAGTGAAATGATTGATAGAGCGAATCCTGTGTCCAACTCCATCGATAAGGGAACCCCTTGCAACTTTACCTCAATGCGAAGTTTCTTCTTAAGGGGCTTGTGTGTCCCTGTCCTCAGAATACTCCTGTGCGATGTGCAGAAACCCCCCCTGTGTTGGCTGGGGACCCTGGTACCTTTCTGAAGCAATTCTTCCCGAGGTTGGACCTTCTGGCGACCCAAACAGATGGAGGCAATGTGGCCTTGCCTGCCACATGCCCGGCAAATGGCGGAGTGGAATCTGCAATCAGCTCGCTTGTGGCGTCCTCCGCACCTGAAGCACTGAAGCGCTGCTGCGGCCTTGTCTGGACGTCCCTTTGGCCTTATTTCTGCTGGCTGGTGAAGTCTGTCCATCTCCTCTTCAGGATCTGCTTCTGAATCTTCTCGAGCATCCTCTTGATGGACGGTCATGGTGGCTGGAGGGTTCCTGGTGAGCCGCAAAGCCTTCCTCAGCTGCAACCTCTCTTAAAGCATCTTGAAACGATACTTCTTCTTTCGCAAAAATCTTCTGTTGCAGTTCTCTGCTACGTAGGCCACACATGAAACGATCTCGCAGCCTCTCTTCCAGGTCCTTGAACTCACAAGGCCTGGCCGCTTGTCTTAAGGCAGCAATGAAGTCCGCAGCAGATTCACCTGGCCTCTGGTCTCTCTGCTCGAACGCATGCCTCCAAGCTATGACAGACAATTTAGGCTGGAAATGTTCCTTCAACATCTTCTTCAAATCAGCGTACGATACTGACTCCAGAAGTGCAGGGGCCACCAGATTTTCCACGATGTCAAAAGCTTCCTGTCCACAGGCACACAGAAGAGTTGCCGCCTTCAGGCCGTCTTCCCTGATCTGATTTACTCTAAAGTAGTTCTCCACCCTTGCTACGTATGAGTTCCATCTCTCTGGGTGGGAGACATCAAAGTCTGTCAAGCAGCCAATCTTCGACATTGTAAATGTTTATGGCCTTCGCTAATTGCCTCCTCTGCAAGCTAGTCTTTTGGGAAAGGGTCCTTTTGCTGAGCTCACCTCTAGCGATGCTGTACTGGCAGGCCGAGTCGTGATTGCAGGACACCGTCTTCCATCTTCAGAACCTTCTCAGTGAGTCCTATTTGTTCCTTTTGCTTGCAGGGAATCCACCTTTGTCGCCACTTTTGTGTATTCCGTTCGTTGGCAATTGACGAAGACACATGGTGAAGCAACAAGATCTTTATTAACCTTCTACTACAACCAAGCAAGCAGCAAAAGGCATGCAGGCCTTTTATAGGGCCTTAGACCCAGACAGTGTTAACCAATAGGAACTGACCATTTTCACGCCTTGCGCATGCACACAAGGCTGGTGCCGGTCTGTCTGGTCCCGGGCAGCTTTTGGTTTGCCCGGGACCGTTTGCAACAATTCTGAGCCTGCTTTTCTACTCTAGCAGGCTCAGGACACAACAAATACCATACTCAATTCTTCCCTGACATACATTTCATAATGGAGAAAGAAACAGCTAGGCAATTACCATTTTTAGATGTACTTATCAACAGACAAGAGGATGGAAGCCTAGAAACTGCAGTTTATCGCAATGCCACCAACACTCCACAGATTCTGAATTTCAGCAGCAACCATCCACTGTCACACAAAAAGAATTGCATCAGAACACTATATGGCAGGATGAGAACCACTGTAGTACCCAGTAAGCCAAACAGCTGGAGATCAGGTATCTATGTGAACAATTCAAGCAGAATGGGTACCCACAATCATTTGTCACAAGATGTCTGTTCAACATGGTGGGGAGAGAAGTAAGAAACAAGGTACAAGACCAACTACATGGCACACCCTGACTTTTTTCAGTATAGCAGAGTACAAAAAAAAGTTACAACTCCATCTTTTGCTTTACATTTCTGGAGTATTTCAAGCCATTTCTGTAACAACAAAGTCATACTAATCTTCAAAACTTCATTCTTGTCTTCTATTCTTTATTTTTACTCATTTTATTTTTCTTTGGTTTTAATGTTTTTATTTGTTGAGAGTTTGAAGGAATACAAATATAAATAAATAATAGTAATATAGCAAGGTCAGATATTAATTTCAGTCAAATGTAATGCAGTATAGATATGTTTTTTGAAATTCTGATAAGAATATGTACCATGAAGATCTTTTTATAATACGTTCAATTATATTTAGTTGTCTCTATAAATTAATCAAATTAAATTTATGAATACCAGATATTACTACAACTCTGTATTCAGTTTTTCTTGGAAGCTTTACTTCAGCATATTGGTGGCTACAAAACTATATTAAACCCCTACCCAAATTTTATGGAACATCTGTAATGAATAGGATTTGCAAAACATTTATGCAAAATGTCTGATTTACATCCACTTGGCTATAAAACATTAACAAAACTATTGAATAAAAACACATCAATAATCAACATCGTTGATTTCTTACTTAATGGAGCTACTGCTTTTTAGTTTCTACTGATATAAATCTGATCCACCCAATGTCAACTGTCCAGTTGGCATTTCCAAAAAAAAGAAACTCCTGGGACATAATTTTACCAAGACTATAATACTGTACTTTACTGAAAATCTACACTGGCACAGAAGAAGCGAAACCAGCTCTGATTTCCCATGCAAACACAAGCATAGTTATTTCCCTCCGAGCCACTCACAGCCAAATACATCCACCAATCACTTCAGTTCATTTTGTTATAAGAAAACAGCTAGGCTTGGTGTCCTTGAAAACTTCCGAAGATGCTTTGTGTTATATCTTCGGTTCTTTAGGCATTGAATGAGGCAGAGTGTTGAAACAGCAAACAAGTTTATTAACTCAGAACTGAAGCAGCCCTAAAGGCTGCTGCACAGCTATTTATACAGTTAGCCTCTAGGTGGCAACCAATAGGTTTAAAGTAACAGTTTCCCGCCCCAAACCTCATTATCAGCTTGGAGACAGCTAGTCTGGCTTTCAGTAACAGCAACTGTTAAACAATACAGCAAATCATATTAAGCAAGTGATTTAAAACAGTTGTGGCCAATACATTACACCCCTTCCCCCTAGATGGCTCAAACTCTCAATTGCTGGACATAGTCCTGCAGATATTTAGGCGGCCTTCTTCACTCTTCTGAATGTCTAGGGGTT